GCCAGTCGGGTCGAAGGACGTACCCTCGACGATGGCCGCCACCCCGACCGACCGGATGAGCTGCAAAAGCCCCGGAGATAACCGGAAGAGTGAGCCCCGCTCGCCGCGGTCATTCGCATTCGGGCTTGCCAAGCGGGGGTCCGGGCAGCTTGTGAAAAACGGAAGGCCATCCCGTGCGGCGTGTAGAAATCACAGCAAGGCCAGGACGGCCCATACCGAAAGAATGATCGCATCGATCAGCCGGCGCGTCCCCGCCGAGGCTTCCCGACCGAACGGACCCACCGGCATCCAGCGTGCGGCGACATACGCTAGCAGGCTGGGCGTGGGGACACAGAGGTACTCCAGGGCCTCGAGGCTACTCCATCCGTCCGGTGAGGCGGGGTATAACTGACCCCGGGCCGACAGGGGGACCGCGAAGAATTCCGTGGTGTGCCACATGTGGAAATAGGCATCCATGCGGCGCCACCGCAGTCGGCTCTCCTTGGCGAAATTCTCACCCCACCGGGCGCTGTTGGCCACACTGTACCACCGGTCGAACGGGCGGGTGAAGGCCACCAGTTGGACGCGGGGCGTGGGATCCACATCCCCGCCGAACCACTCGAAGAGACCGAACAACTGCGCGTGGTACTGCTCCTCGCCCGCGCAGCGCACGTACAGGAGATCCGAACGGGAGTCGGCCATCACCCGATGCGGTGCATGGAGCCAACGGGTCCTCTACGCAGCCGAGCTGTGTTCTTGCCGAACTCGCCCGCGAGGGGAGGGCGTGCGGATGCCCCTCCGCCTCGGGATGGCTTGAAACCGGACGGAATCGGGGAAGGCCGTACCGATGTAGGCATCGACGGTCATCGGCGGTTGTCCCTGCGAGGGGTTCCGACCACCCCGTGACGCCCGGTGGTCCAAATCGCTCCCTGGCAACAGGGACCGGACGGAACGCACCCCGGCGTGGAGCCAGCCTGTCGGCGGCGTCGCCGCCGCCGCGGGCGTCACCGCGTACGGATCAGGCCGCGCCGGCTGAGTTCCCCCTTCGGTTGCGGGGCATCCCGCAGCTGCGACCCAGTCGGGCGACCGCCTCAGTACGGTCAACTCTCCGACTTGGGGAGCAGGGGCTGATCTTAGGGGGAGCGGCAAAGGCCCGCGCTCGTCAGGAGAAGGGCCCCGACACGGGAGGCCGCCGGTACACGCGAGCCGCCCCGGACGGTCAGAGGGACCCGTAGCGGGCTGGTCCCCGGCGCGCGAAGACCGCGCCGGATGAAACGAAAGCGCCGGCGCGGGTGCCGCCGAGGGAGGCCGCTCGCGTGGGGGCTGTCCCCGTGCCGTGTAGTGATCCGCCATCGGGTTGGTAGGAGCAAAGAGAAGGGAAGAAGCGCGAGGAAGGGCGTGGATAGTGGTGGTTGTGGAGTGAGTCGTGGGGTGTGCTGTGGGGTGAGTTGGGGGGTTCGTAGTGGAGGACAAGGGAAGCGTGAGGAGACCCCCCACCACACCGGAGGAACCGCCACGATTAAATACCAAAAACTCCATAGGCTCCCCTATGGAGTCGACCGCAGTCCGACCGCGTTCCCGCGGTCGGCGCGGGCTTTTCCGTACGGTGGGCGCCCCCTGCAAGCCGGTCATTGCAGACTTCGGCCGCGACGGGGACGTGTCGCGAAGTAAGGAAGGGGGTCTGTAGTACAATTCCGTACCACAACCCCCCGGCGAGATGATAACCGCGCGGGAGGGCGAGTGCTACTGTAGCGAACAAGCGTACACGCGCCCACCGCCGTGCACAGTAGTACCCAAAGGGTCCGACGTGGGAAAGCCAGTAACAGCGGGCGTGGCCACGGGTAACACGTAGCACAACCGTTAGCCGGGATCGTGGCCACGGGCACACGTGTATAATCCGTACGGCGGCTAACTAGTAATTAGTAGTTAATGGCACAAATTAGCCAATTTAGCACAGTAGCTGGTATACAGTAAGTAACATCTACTGTAGCGGGACAGGTGTCCTGGCGTCCCACTTAGGGGTTAAGACCGGGGGCACCTGCCCTGTTCCAGTAAACGGGAGGCAGACTCGCCTCCCCTCCCTTTACGGCTAATTGCTATCCCGTTCCGGTTTCCCTTTTAGTCTCAGGCTTCTAACCCGTGACCGGCCGTCCGGATCTAACACTTCCGACCGGCTGCGCGTCACCGGCCACGTGAGCCTTCCCTCTTTTCGAGTCCATCCGTACGGTCTGCGTTCGCGCGTGGGTTACCCAGCGGCGCGCGCTCCCTTACCTCTAACCCCCCTCGTTTCCGAGTGGTCGGGACGAAGGTAGTTATACCACAGTACCCAGGGGCGCCGGGCGGTATAAACTTGTGTTGTGTGTGGCAGTGGTGGCGGGAACGGGGGGCTGGGTGACAGCGGTTGGAGGCGGCGGGGGCTGAGAGGTGAGCGTCTCGTGGCACGGACCTCGGTAGTTTTGTCGGGCATGCTGGCATCTTGTGCTGGCCCTGGGCTGCGGAGGGCCGCATCGGGGGTGGCGTTCAAGGCCGGGGCAGTAGTATGCATAGGGATCGGGGACGCAGTGCGCGAGGTCGCCGGACATATGGCTAGTGCGGGTACAGGGGGCAACGCAGATTTCCGGATGCACGGGTGTGTATGTGGGCTTGCAGGAACGACGGGCAGAGCGGTAACCGTTGCGGTAGGTCGACGGGAGTACCCGTCGTTCGAGGCTGCGGCGAGTGCCGCATAGATATTACGGGAGGTGTGACGGAGTGCCCCGGCGAGGGCGGTTCGAAGACGCATGGCAACTGAGGTGGGGGTACTGTGACGTAACAGGCGTTGCGACTCTTGGGCGAGGCGGCGGGCTATTCCAGCCGCGGGCGAGGGGTCCAGCGTCCTGACTAAAGTAGAAAGCGGTACGGGGAGAAGTTGGAGATCCTCGTAGATGAGCGTAATTGCTGGACAGTGTCAGCTGTTAACTCTTGCTTGACAGTGTCAGACATTAATTAATCTCCCACTCCATTAATCCCCTAATTAGAAATATTGTAATTAGTAAATAATTGTGGTTAATATTTAATGATCATTTAATTGTTGCACAAACTCTACCATCATCCAGACAATGGTGCTCCAAACCCCCGCGTCCTTGGGACGCGATTTCGTTACTAATTAGC